AAGTCAATAAAACAGGGCTTGACCCCCACGGAGAGGCATGCACTTCAGGCGTTGTATCATTCTGTTTCAAAGGACTTGTTTCAAATGAAAAATTAGTCTCGTCAAAGCGGACATGACGACAGATATAGGTTTTCCCGGTGTTAAGGCACATGCAACGGTAACCCCTAAAGGACGACGGGTAACCTAAGAATACACATGGACTCGACCGATACTCGATTTTGTGACGGTTATACGGGCGTAAGTATGGATAACATAGACATCCAAACACACGTAAGTAAGTATACGTGGGCGGAGTCTTATATAGGCGAAAAAAGGGTGTATCAAACTTTAGTGAGGCTGACGGTAACCGATTTATAAGATAAGTTGCCGTTTCAAAGGCATGATCCCAATAGCGCTGTGGGACAGACGCTTGGGCCATTAACGCCAAGCCAGTTTCGACTATATGGCGATTTCGACGCTCCACACGGCCATTTTGCTCGTGTGTGTAGGCACATGATTGCCGATGTACTATTCCTAAGGATATGAATGTTTTATGTAGCTTTTGGTATTTCCCCCCCCCCCCCCCCCCCCCCCCCCCAAATCAGACTGAACGGACTTGATAGAACGTGAAAATGTACGTTCTACCATCGCCCGCCAAATATCAAAGATTTTATATATATCTGTTTTTAGACGTAGAGGATAGTACCAACAATAGCGAGTACAGTCGTCTACGAATAATACAAAGTAGCGGGACCCGTCCGTTGAAAGAACCGGTGCGGGACCCCATATATCGGTAAAAACAAGGTCGAGTACATTTGCACTAGATGTAACTACCCTATCTAATGGAAAACGTGCCGATTTTCCAAGTTGGCACGGTGTACATAATTTGGGTGTTACATTTTTATTTGACTCGACTGGACAATTTTGTAAAACACGACGCAAGGCTTGGCTGTGTGGGTGACCGAGACGCTGGTGCCAGACCGTGGAAGAGGCACGAGCCGAGACGAACACGAAGTGATTATTTGGTAGAGACAACGAATAGAGTCCTCCCGAACTCGGACCTTTAAGAAGCACCGCCTGAGTGATTGAGTCCTTCACAACAAAGTAAGAGGGGTGAAATTCAAAATAGCAATTATTGTCCCGGGTAAACCGGTTAACAGACATCAAAGACACTGACAACTCAGGAACATGTAACAAATTAGACATTTTTAACGACTTTTTGACCGTAGGAATTATTGCATGACCCACACTCGAGATCACCAAACCTGTGTCGTTGCCTACTCGTAAGACGTCATCTCCGTGGTAATCCTCGGGATTGATAATCACACCGGAATCGGGGGTGGCGTGGGTTGAGGCTCCGGTGTCCGGCAGCCATGTGGTGACCGACGATGGTGGCGCTGCTCCGTCTCTTGCAACGGCAACGTGAGCCTGCGACGGCGGCGGCTCCGTGTACCGGCGGTAACAAAAAGCGGCCGAATGGCCTTGAGAGCGGCAAATCTGACAGCGCAACCCGCCGTTCCGGCCACGTCCGCCGCGACCGCCGCGTTGGTTGCCTCCGCGTCCACCACCACCGCGGGATTGCCTGCCACCACCGTCTCCGTTCTGCCGTCTGCCTCGACCGGCGTACATCGTTGCTGGAACACCGCCTTGCGTCGCCGGTGGATAAGCGGGATAATCGTCGGCATGTATAAATTGTTGTGCCTGGAGGTAATCGGCAAGCTGAGGGATGGAGACGGACCTGCCCGCGATCGCCAGTGAGGATGCGACTGCTCGGAACTCCGGTCGCAACCCCCGAAAGACGTACAGGTTCTGTTCAGTTGGCGTCAGGGTTCGGCTGGCAAGCGCAAGATCTTCAACCAGATGTTGCGCACGGCCCAAATATTCCTCCGTGGAACTGTCGCCCTGCCGTAACGTCTGAATCTGCCCGAGCAGATTCAAGCTTCGGACCTCCGTCGACGACCCGAGAGCCGTCTCCGCCGCCAGCCACACGCCGCACGAGGTTGTTCGGCCAAGAGCGAGATACATGACTTCCTCCGAGAGGGAGGAAATCAATAGGGACAGGATCGAAGCGTCTTGTTGCACCCATACACCGTACGCCGGGTTCTCCGTGGAAGAAGCGGCATCATCAGGACCACTGCCGGTCGGAATCTCCAGGTGTGATGAGGGGCATGGCCGCGTACCATCAACAAAGCCAAGAAGGCCTTGGCCGCGGAGAAACGGAATCACCCGTGTCCTCCAGTATAGATAGTTACGGTGCGTCAATTTTAGCGACACAAAATGGTGTGCGCTTGTGAGGGTGTTAGGACCAGAGTTGCCGGAAGAAACAGTGGTGGCCGTGAGGGTGCGCTCGGAACTGGAGTGCGACATGATCGACGCTACGAGAGAGAGAAAGGTGAGAGGGGGATATTTTCTGGCTAACTGATACCAGATGAGAGTGGAAGCGATAGATTAATTCAATAACAGAATCAGAGTACAAATATACTCTCTTAGAGAGAGACCTAAATAATAGGCTTAAGACTAGAACAATTATTCTATGCTATAATATACAATAGAATAAATATAATTAATAAACATAGTCTAACAAGTAAGAGTCCTTGTTTTTGTCCCAAAAAAAAAAAAAAAAAAAAAAAAAAGAGGAGGAAAGGCGTGGGTCTCTCGAGATTTTTTTTTTTTTTCCTTCTTCTAATTTACCCTTAAAAACGTCTTACTAAATCTTTTTTTTTTTCCAACTTAATGAATATTTTTGGAAATTTTGTAAATTATGACAAGTTGTCATATTCCGTCATGCATGGAGACCCAACTTTGATTTATTCCCCATCTAGGAAAAAACCAGTTTTTTAAAAATGATTTTTAATGATATAACTTAAAATGGCAAAAAATTAAAAGTAGATTCAAACCCTAATTCTCTCTCATCTCTGCATTTCGACTTCTCAAAATTTTATATGGTCGTCGCCTCCGTGAAACAAGCGGATACAGACAGCGTTCGCCTTCATTGTCTTCTCTGCCTTCACGTTTTTCTTTCATTCTCCACCTTCGCACGGTTATTTTTCTTTACTTTGTTTTACTGGTTTAATTTTGTTTGTCATTTCTGTGTTTTTCCTCTCGTTATTTTGACGAGTTACTTCCTCTCATTTACTTGATGAGTTCTTTTTTCATAAAGCGTGAAACGATAAAACTGGTCACGGCGTATATGAATCTCATCTTGGGTGACAAACATGATAATGAAAAGAGACTCCTCTGAACTATAATATGCAATTGAGCCCGATGGAGATATCTTCATCAATAGATAGAAGAATAGAAATAGATACTCAGGTAGTGTGCAAGACTATTCAACCACTGTCAGTCTTGGGTACGTTTGACCAAATCATTAAAGAAGCTTTAAGTTCCACCAAAGAATTCAGTTTCAAATGTGTGAAATAGTCTGCGAATCAAGTTTTCTTTTAACATTACTACGGAAGTTGTTTCTATGTCTGACCGTAAGAAATATTTAACCATTCTATTGATCTTTATTGTAAACGTTTCAGATTAATGAATTAACTTCTTTATTTAAATAAACAAATAAAACGACACAAATCAAAGTTCAGAATCAAAATATATATGAAATATTATAAGTTTTAGTTTACGTCAGAAAACAAGATTCAAGAATCATTTGAAATGAAGTAAACTGAAAGGAAAATGAAAAACGACACTCCATTTTGTGCCGTCCCCGTAACAAAATTGTGCTTAAGGAGTAATATATGACATTACGAAATAATTAGTTTGAGATAATCATTTGAAATGAAATAAGCCAAAAGAAAAACAGCAAAACGACACTTGGAGTGACGTCTTGCTAATACTCCAAACTAAATATTGTTTAATTTGTCATGAGCAATTACATGAAACTATAAGATGCTTAATTTGTTATGAATATTAACCTTGTACGTAACAAAATGTATTCAAGGAGTAATGTATGATATTAACAAATAATTAGTTTGAGATAATCATTTGAAATGAAATAGCCTAAAAGGAAAATCAAAACGACACTCTATTTTGTCCCGTTTCGCTTGTACCTCAAACTGAAATTTGTTTAATTTGTCTCAAAAGGAACTGTAGAGTGAGTGAAACACAATTATCATATAAGGACATATGTTTAATTTTTGTCAACAATCTCTCAATCAAATCTATTGTACAAGATTTTTATTATTTTTTTAATGCAAATTATTATACATGACTGGAGTTTACCAAATGTACACAAAAATATTTTGGTCAAACTTGGTAACCACAAAGTTATAAGTTCAATTCCTAACGACAATGACTTATTAACTTTCATGATTTGATGTGATCAACTATGAGCCATTCATACTAGTTTGCTTGGTCACAAGACAGGAATTATTCAATGCACACCCTTAAATATTAGTTCTGAGTTTTTCTCGTTATTCAAAAAATTGTTTAATTTGTTACAAATATTATTAACCTTGTAACTAAACAAATGTATATAAGAGCAACCAAAAAAGTGATTTTTGCTCAATTTTTGAAGAAAAGTGAAAAACATAGTTTATGACTTTGTGTGGAGGAGAGAGAATATTTGGAGGCATCTTGCAAGCAGCTGATTTTTTGTGAGTCGTGCGAGGCTGGGACACAGAGAAAGTGACCAAAAAAAGATGATGTGACCAAATTACCCTTACCTCAAACGTAGCTTAGCCAAAAAAGGTATCGAAAGGATAAAAAATGTTCAAAATATAATAATCTGATGTGTTTAGTGACAAAAATCATAGTCTAAGATTAAACGTGAAATTATAAAACACAAGAAATTTTTACTGAAATTAACTCTTTCGTGAACCAAACAATCTTTGTATTTATGTACACTCCGTATTCCGTATGATATTGGGAAATAAGTGGACAAAATTGTGACAATTTGACTGGTCGACCAAGGTAGGAACATAGACCCTTTTCTTTCTCCATCAGTGTCATGCCACGTAGGCTCTCCCACCTGGCAGAAGTGACACGTAATCCCACGCTTCCATAGTTCCATACTTTCAAACCCAAAGCCCGCCACCAACCACCGCATCGCCGCCACCTGTTCCCCCTTTCTCTCTCTCTCTCCCTCTCAAAAATTCAAATCTCTCTGCTTTTTTCTTCACTTTTCCTCCTCCTATTCACACTATTCTTTTCCCGATCTCACTTTACCCTTTTCCCCTCCTTGTAATTCTCACTCTCCATTCCCAACTCTCTGCTTTCATGATCAAAACATGAAATTCTCGTCATCTTCATCTTCTTCCGCCGCCGCCGCCGCAGGCGGCGGCGGCTGCAATGCGGCTGCTTCCAAAAACGCAGATCCGGGGTGTATCGCCGGAATGTTCCGCCGGCTTCTTTGCTCCAATGCTCTTCCGACACACCCCGCGGATCACGTGAGCTCTGTTTCCACGCACCCTTCAGATCATGCAGTTCAGAAGAATCAGCGAATAAAACTGGAAGAGGGAAAAAACTCAAAAAAGATTGAATCTTTAGCGAGTACAGGGGTGGTGGCTAGGTTGATGGGGCTGGAATCCATGCCCAGAGTGGAGTTAAACCCTAATAAAGCCATTGCGAGAAGCCAGTCGATGAACTCCATGGATTCTTTGAGGGAGTTGAAGTCCACGAAGGAGAAGAATCTGCGAGCTTGCAGCTTTCGCGAAATTCCCACCTACTTGGAGCTTGAAGATGAGAATTTCTTCATTCTGAGCTTCGAGTATGGCGGCAAACAGAGGAGATCAGAGAACGAAAAGAAGACGAGGAAAACAGAGAAAGTGAAGAACGGAAGAAGGGAAAGTGTACACCAAAACAACAAAGAGAATCAAGACATAAACCAGGTTTCAGATAAGAATCTTAATGCTTCTGAGATAATTACTGGTAGTCATGGAAAGCTTCAAGATTCCACCAACATTCTTAGACCCACCAGAAAGGATGCTAGCAAGAAGAAAGACGAATACAAGCAAGAAAGATTCAAAAAGAAGAAGAAGAAGGATAGAAGAGATGCAAAGAAAATTGAAGCAGACTGTGATTCAGAAAAATCCAGCCCAAATTCTGTCCTCGGATTCCTCGAATTCCCAGCCATTCAAGACATTCCCAGTTCAGGTTTGTCTCATCCCATGTTTCATTCATTCAAAACTGTTGAGCATATAACCATTAATGTGCAATCCAACTATGAGCTTAGATTTTTAGTTGAGATAGAACACATGCTTCAATTAAAACAAGGCAATCCAGCCAAGTTGGTCAGACTTAGTAACCACAAGTTACAAGTTCGACTTCCATCTATATCAGCTATCGACCTTCTTGGTTAGATCGGGGTTAAGTCAGTACACACTTTCAGATAATGGCTGCAGGTTTTTATTGTCACTCAAATTCTGGGTTACCTCTTGTTTAATGCTGACATTTGATTACAGAAAAGTTTTCAAAATTGGCAAGTTCAAAATCCAGGCGGACATTGTCAGAAGAGCTTGAGAATTACAGGAAGCTGAAACTGATAAGCGATGATTTCCAGCCCAAAAGAAGCGAAAAAGTGATGAATTGGGGGTGCAGCAGAGATGAGAATGATGTGAAACTGTGGGGAGAAATCTGCAGATTGGCTGATGCAGAAACACTTCAAAACAAATGGCACCATGAAGAAATATGGAAACAAGAAAAAGTTTGCAGCCAAGAGATTATTGGTGGGAGTTTTGAGTTTCAAATTCTTGATGAGTTGATAGGGGAGATGGTGGATCAACTTATCATTGATTCCCATATAGATTCACTTTGTAATTTGACTTGATACTCTTACTTCCTGTCCTTGTTTAAATTTCATAAGTGTACACATTTGGTGATATAAATTTTATAGGAAATTTTAAATCTCGATTCTAACTGTGTTACAAAAAAATCCTATGCAAATGGACATGATACTGATTGATATATTAGAATTTCTATACATTTTATATATGCTAAATAATGATTCATAGGAAATGTAAATCATCATTAGTTAAGTTGTATACTAATTTGCCAATGACTTTGTGATTTAGTGACACTAAGTTGTTCTTTCATGTGAGAGGTTGTAAGTTCGTAATTATGAACAGATACTGCATTGTAACAAATTCAATAGTATTCAAAAAAAAAAAAGTTGTATACTAATTTTAACCAGGATAAGGTTACTTACATCATTTGATATCTATGTATATAAGGGTTTTTCTATTGAAAGATTTTTCTCTAGTGTTTTAAAATAATAAGTTAATGTGGAGGCGAGATGCAATAAAAGAGAAAAAAAAAATGTCTAACTGCTAAAATGGATTCTTTTCATTAAGGATTCAAAACTGTGTTTTAAAAAAAAAAATGTGTTGCATGCATCAACGCTATCCAACAGGCCCATTAGCGATTTAGGGTGATCACCAATTGGCCCGCAAATTATTTTGTAGATCCGAGTCTAATGTTCACAGTTTACCAATCGTTATTCCGTGCACTCCGTACCTCCCAAAATGACGTCGTTTTGTTAAGTTGTTAAAAAAAAATTCTCTGTTTCGAATGCACATAAACTCATAATAGAATACATACAAACTCATAACAGAATACACATAATCTAACATAATACACATAAACTATAACATAATACACAAACTCTTAACTGAATACACATAAAATCTTAACTAAATTCACATAAACTCATAACACAATACACATAAACTTTTAACTGAATACACATAATGGGGTTTGGTTAACATAATACACATAAACTCTTAACCATGGTTGCAATAGGCGTTAGGCGCTAGTCGGGCGGTAGAGTAGCGCCTAGCGCATAGACGGCCTAGGCGGGGCCTAAGCGGCCTAGGCGGCTAACTGAAAAAATGAAAAGCAATGCACGTGTGTAGGTGCATATATGTCATATTATACATACATACATACGTACATACGTACGTACGTACATACATACATACATATATATATATATATGTCATATAAATGAAAAAAATTAGCAAGGTCAAGCCAGTCGGGTTAACTCGGCTAACTCGACAGAAATTGACGAGTAAACTCGGCGTAATCGGCCGAATTAGGCGCTAGGCGGGCGCCTAGGCGACCGGTCTCCTAGGCGGGAGCCTAGGGGAGAAATCGCCATGGCCTAAGGGCGCCTAGCGCCTAGGCGCCGATTACTCGGTGCCTAGGCGGGATTTTTGCAACCCTGCTCTTAACTGAATACACATAAAATCTTAACTAAATTCACATAAACTCATAACACAATACACATAAACTTTTAACTGAATACACATAATGGGGTTTGGTTAACATAGTACACATAAACTCTTAACTGAATACACATAAACTTATAACACAATATACATAAAATTTTAACTGAATACACATAATGAGGTTTGGTCTGTTCAGATGGACGGAGTGAGGTCAGCATAAAACGCGCGCGTTTTGTACCTGAGCGCACATTACTATGTGCAGCGTGGTGCACGATATAATTTGCCACAGTTTACATGCCAAATGTTCACAAGTAGTATGTAACAAAAAATTTATATGTAGGTTGTTCCACTAATGTTGCTCTTACATGTATAAATATTGTAACACTTTTTACAAGTTGCATCTTATGGTTGAAGTATGGATGCTAATACAATGTAGTTTTTTTTTTTTTTTTTTTTTTTTTTCTTGGGTACATATAAAAGCCAAGAAAATACTAAACTACCACCTATAAAAACAATCTCATTTTAAAGTTCATATTATAATAATAATAATAATAATAAATTATAATAAAGTAATAAATGTTTTTTAAAAATATACTTTTGTTGAACTTTACACAAACTGTATTTTATAATGGGCTTCATCCGTGATGCCTAGCCCAAAAAGTTGGCCCGTATTCAACCAATTTTAGCCCACATTATACCCTTATGGCAAATTATGTTGTGGAAACGTGTCCAGCTTGCAAGGTGGACACGGTTCTAAAACTGTCATAATTGTGAACATAGAATTCTATAATTATAAATATAGAGTTCAATAATTTTGAATATAAAGTTCAAAAATTATGAACATAGAATTTTATAATTATGAACATAGAGTTTTGTAATTGTGAATATGAAGTTCAAAAAGAGTAAATACTCAAAATGGTCCCTCGACTATAGCTATATTCATAAATTGGTCATCGACTTTCAATTTTAACCAATTAAGTCGTTAACTTTACAATTTTAACACGATTTGGTCCTCCGTCTATTTGACCGTTTGTTGACTGTGATTTTTGAGGATATATATGTAATTTCATGGTCCATTGTCGGTTTTTTAAGGTTCCGATTTTCATTTCCAGACCGCACTGTTATTTGAATCCACTACCGAAAGCAATCTGCCAAATCCTGTCGCCTTTCTTCATCCTCCTTTTGGATTCAATGTAGTTGAGTTCGTACCAGGGCAAAGAAGACGACATGTTTCTGAATCGGTGCAGCGTCATCCTGGATGCCTCCACGTGCTCCGACGAGAGCTGCAGGTTCTTCTGGAGATCGTTGATGACAGCGCGGCCGCCGACGTTGATGCAGAAGTGTTTGAAGGCCTGTTTGAAGTCGGAAATGTAGGGTTTCCATTTGGGATTGAAGATTTTCTGGTCGATTAGGGTGAAGAGGAAGAAGAGCTGCTCTGACGGTGGGAAAACGAACGGGCCGATTGTGGTTATGTTGGATTTGAGGGCTTCGCCGGCGATCACCATTAGGTATTTTGAGAGGTTGATTCCGACTTTTCATTGCGGATCTTCCTGCTCGTAAACGCAGCGGTAGGCTTTATCCTCGGCGCGCTTGTGCATGCGGACCACGTGCATGAGCCAGTACTTGGCCCGACCCGAATCACGCTTCTTGTTGGACCAAATCGTGTTAAAATTGCAAAGTTAAGGACTTAATTGATTAAAATTGAAAGTTGATGACCAATTTGTGAATTTAGCTATAGTTGAAGGATCATTTTGGGTATTTACTCGTTCAAAAATTATGAATATAGAGTTCAATAATTATGAACATAGAACTGTGTCCACCTTGCAAGGTGGACACGATTCCACAACATAACAATTGATACCCTTATAGCAAATTATATTGTGGATTATGGTCCGCTTTATAAGGTAGACTACGTATATACTCTGTATGTTTATTTTCAATAATAATATTTTCTATGCGCAATGTGTAAAAATCGTTACTCAATATTAGTACTCTATATTAAAATATTAAATTTATTTAAATTTTAGATATCAATATTATTGATTAATAATAATAATAATAATAATGTAAACCATTTTTATAAATTTGATATTTATATTTTATGAAATAACTTATATAGTATTTCAATATATAATGTCTATATATTATTATCATTGAAAAGATAAGAAAACATATTGTGCATGTATGTACATGACAACATTAGTTGAATATATATATATATATATATATATATATATATATATATATATATATATATAATAGAAGTTATAATGGTAGGGGTATGTTTGATTAAAAATATTATATAGTACAATTTTTATAGCATAATGTATTAAAATAAAGTAACGGAAAAAATGAACATAAATAAATGGTATAACTTTTGTTCGTACTTATTAATTTTTAGATTAGATATTATAAGTTCATTTTTATATAATACAACAACAAAAAATGAATTTGCAATAAATAAGAAATAAACATGTAGTATCTAAATCTAATCTAAAAATATAATAAGTCTCAATCCAAATTATACATCTGGTTTAGGTCTATTTTCTCTGTTAAATGTTTGTATACAATTATTTAAAAAAAATATTTTAATATTTAGTATTAATATTAGACATATATTTTTTGCACATCACACTTATAAAATACTAGTATAAAAATTTCAAAATTAAACATGTATATAATATTATGTAAATCTAGGCATAACGATCGAAAAAAGTCATACCGAGTATTAATTAATGCTCCGTGCGTTTTTTTTTTTTTTTTTTTTTTTTTGGGAGGGGGGTTGTGGGTAGTCCGTAATACATTTGGTGACAGTAATTATGGCATAGAATGTTTTTCTCCATCCGTGCAAAGAATATGATTATTCATTTTGCCCATCTTTAAAACCATCATTTCCATTTTGAACACAAACCCAAGCCATGTGCAACTTGTAACCAAATTTCACATGCTAATTTTCAAATTTTCTACCTTTAGTTCCAATTCCAATTATAATAATAATAATAATAATAATAATAATAATAATAATAATAATAATAATAATAATAATAATAATAATAATAATAAATTTCCCTTTAATGTCTATATAGGCATAAGTGTCGATAGTAACAATATAACATATGTAACTTTATATGTTACGCTTGGCTATACATATAATATCATTGGTCAATTAACACTTTAAAAAAATCTTATTTCACTCACTTAATTGCTCCTTTTCAAGTACTATGTTTTTGGTTTTTACTTTAACTAGTATTTGCACTCGTGCGATGTACAAAATGGATTTGTTGTAATATATTAAGAATATATGAATCGATATATAATTATTTAAATTAGAACATCAAATATTATATAAATAAATAATGGCAACGGCTTTCTTGTTAAACATTAATTTGATTAAATCAAGGATGACCTCATGGTCACCCATTCGTTAAATCAAACAGGTAGAGGATAAACCAAATAAATAAATAAGGTTTAGTCTAAACTCTACGGCACACAAAGAAGAATAATTCAACTTAGCTCAATGGTTCAATACTCAGTATTTGAGAGAAAAAGAATTGTCATTCAAGAAAATGTCGATAAATAAATGTACTACCACCTTTTTTTCATGACTTTCGTAGTGCGAAAGTTAAGAGTTTTTTCTTTTTTTTAAAAAAAAAAAAAAATTAATTACAATCT